TGTCCTAAGTCACACAGCAAGCCAGTGGCAGACCAAAGCAAGAATTCAGGTCTTCTAACTCCAAGTCTGGTGCTCAAAACTGGGAAGGAGTTAATTTTAGGGGGACTTTACCTCTTTTTATGTATTATCTTTATTCATGTATAACAAAGATATATTCATATATGGTTGTACGAATAAAATAAACAAAAACTTGGCTAATACATATGTGAAAAAGTATCTTCACGAGTCAGTGGAGAAATTCAAATTAAGACCACAATACATCCATCAGAATGTGGAACAGCTGAAACTCTGAGAAAACTGGCCCTATGAAAGCTGAACATGTGCATACTTTATGACCTCGTGATTCCGTATCTAAGTATTTACCCAACAGAAATGTATGCATATGTTCATCAAGAGACATGTTCAAGAATGTTCATAGCGGCATTTTGTAACATGTAATAAAACTGGAGATAACCCAAATGTCCATCAACAGTAAAATGTGCTCTATTCATATAATAGAATATTATAGATATGAGAATGAATGAACAATAACTGCACATAGCAACACGAATGAATCACATAAAATTTTGAGCAAAAGAAGCAAGATGTGAAAGAATGCATGCTGTATTATTCTACATATATACAGTTCAAAAGCAGGTAAACTATGCAACTGGAAGTCAGGATAGTTCCCCCTTGTGGGATAAGTGACTGGAAGTGGATGAGCTGTAGGGTTCTGGAAATTGTTCTTTTTCTTGGTCTGGGTGCTAGTTACATGGGTATGTTCACTTTGTGAAAATTCAGGGACATGTACCCTACTTTGCACTTTTTTCTATATTTGTATTACAAGTTTAAAAAATAAGTAAACAGAAATGTAAAAGGAGAGACAGAGAGATGTGTCTGGTGAGCCCAACATGGATTTACTTAGTGCTCTCAGTAGGGGAATCTGAAGGGAAAAGCCTTCATGTAAGAAACTTGGTTTTGGCAGGGCTAGGTGGATCATCCTATAATCCCAGCACTTTAGGAGGCCGAGGTGAGTGAACTGCCTGAGCCCGTGGGTTCGAGACCTACTCAGGCAACTTGGTGAGACCTCATCTCTACAACAAATAAAAAATTAGCCAGGCATGGTAGCGCGCACCTGTAGTTCTGGCTACTTGGAATGCGGAGGTGGAAGGATCACCGGAGCCCAGTAGGTCGAGGCTACGGTAGTCGGGAGCATGCCACTGCACTCCAGTCTGGGTGATGGAATGAGACTCCAACTCAGAAAGAAAAGAAAAGAAACTTGGTTTCCCAAAGAGAAATAACTGAAGGCAGCCTCCAGTATCATAACATGCCGGGTGTCTTCAGGAGCCACCACCAGGCCACAGCCCACACAGACCAGCAAATGAAACCAGCAGAGGATTTCTGTCATACGACTTAGGGAGGAAAAGATACCCATTAAAAGTATACATTTTGAGCCAGGCTCGGTGGCTCAGCCTGTAATCCCGTGCCTTTGGGAGGCTGAGGTGAGTGGATTGCCTGAGCCCGCAGGTTCGAGACCCGCCTGGGCAGCTTGACGAGACATCATCTCTACAATAAATCAAAAATTCAGCTGGGCGTGGTAGTGTGCGCCTGTAGTTCCAGCTCCTCGGAAGGCTGAGGCGGAAGGATCGCCAGAGCCCAGCAGGTCGAGGCTGCGGTGGCCGGGAGCGGCCACTGCGCTCCAGTCTGGGAGACAGAGTGAGACGCCAACTCAAGAAAAAAAAAAAGTATACATTTTGGCCAGGCTCGGTGACGCAGCTTGTCATCCCAGCACTCTGGGAGGCCGAGGCGAGTAAATTGCCTGAGCCCATGGGTTTGAGACCAGTCCAGGCAACTTGGCAAGACCTTGTCTCAACAATAAATCAAAAATTAGCCAGGTGTGGTAGCGCGTGCCTGTAGTTCCAGCTACTTGGAAAGCTGAGGCAGAAGGATCACCTGAGCCCAGCGGATGACAGATGTAAACTCCCACTCAAAAAAAAAAAGAGAACACATTTTTAAATTGGTGAATCAGAAAGAAGCTCATTCCACATGAGGGACCTGTCATTATCTTTCCTGTGACATGAAAGGATTCTTTTTTTTTTTTTAAGTTGGAGTTTCACTGTTACACAGGCTAGCTTACCACACACATCCTTGACCTCTTCTTGGACTCAGGCAATCCTTCTGCCTCAGCCTCCCAAGCAGCTGGGATTACAGGTATATGCCACCATGCCTAGCTAATTTTTTTTTATTTTTTGGAGCGACAAGGTTTGGCGATGTTGCCCAGGCAGGTCTCAAATTCCTGGGCTCAAGCAATCCTTGTGCTTTGGCCTCCCAAAGTGCTGGGATTGCAAGTGAGTCACCACACCCAGTCTCAAAACTCCTTTTTCTCTGCTAAACAAGTTACCCAGAGAAAATGAAAAGCAGAACCCTAGCCGGGCTTGGTGGCTCAGCCTGTAATCCCGCGCCTTGGGAGACTGAGGTGAGTGAAT